CCCCCCCCGCCCTGTTCTTCCTCCTCCCGCTTGGCCCCCACCTTGCCTGCTCAACCCCCCCCCGCCACCCCCCCCCGCCACCCCCTCCTCTCGCAGCTGTGGTGGGCGGTCTACGCGGTGGGCTTTGTGGTGCGCCCGCTGGGCGCGCTGCTGTTTGGCCACATCGGCGACACGTATGGGCGCAACAACACGCTGCGCATCGCCATCATCTGCATGGCCGTGCCCACCGTGGTCATCGGCTGCCTCCCCACCTACTCCATCGGCCCCTACACTGCCGGCCTGGCCGCCCCCATCCTCCTTACCATCTTCCGCCTGCTCCAGGTGAAGGGCGGGCCGGGGGGGCGCTGGCTGGCTGGGTGGGCTGTTGCTGTGGGCTGCTGCTCTGGGCTGTTGCTGTGGGCTGTCGCTGGGTTGGCTGTCTGGCTGGCAGGATGGGCTGTTGGCTGGCTGGCTCGGTAAATCGATGGACTGTTGCGGGGCTGGCTTGCTAGCTCCTGTGCTGCCTGGCTTGCCACGGCTTCCGCCAAGCATGCCCAAACTCGGCTTAGCCTGCGGCCAGCCCACCCCCTCCTTACCCCTTGCCACCTCCTCCTTACGGAATATCCCCCGTACCACCTACCCCTCACCTTCCCCGTGGCTTCTCCCGCGGCGGTACCGCAGGGCCTGGCCATGGGCGGCGAGTTTGGCCCCGCCATCATTTACATCTCAGAGCTGGCGCCGGTGGCGTGGCGCGGCCGCCTGGTGGCCATCCTCCAGATGGCGGTGAATGTGGGGTGAGCGGCGCTCTGCAGGCACTGCCTGCGTGCCTGCCTGCACTGGACTGGACTGCACTGCCCTGCCTGCCTGCCTGCCTGGCTGCCTCAGCCTGCCTGTGCCCTGTGCTGCCTGCCCTGCCTGCCTGCCAGCGCTGCCTGCCGCACACGGGGCGGCCAACCTTTCCTTGCAGCCCCGCTGTGCCAGCGCACGTAGCCGCCGCCGCCCTTTGCCTGCTGCGGGGACTCGGCCAGCCGTCGGGCCGCGCTGCCTGCGTCCGTTCGGCCACCCTGCCCCCCCCAGGCCTGTTCACCGCCGCCACCCTGCCCTCCCCTGCCCTGCCCCACCCCCGGTGCTCCCTCCCCTCTGCAGCATGATCCTGGCCACCCTGCTGGTGATGCTGCTGGAAAACACCCTGGACACATGTGAGGGCAGGCTGCCTATGCTGCCTGCCCGCCTGCTGGGCTGCCTGCCTCGCCTGGCACGACCCGCGGCCGGGCTGTGCTGCCTGCCCGCCTGCCTGTGCTGCCACCTGCGTGTGCTGCCACCTGCCTACGCCGCCTGCCTGCCAGACTGCCTGCGCGTGCGGCGCTGCGCCCCATCCTCGGCGGCCTGCCTCGGCATCCCCGCCGCTGCCTGCCCACCCACCTTAACCCTCACCAAGCACCTCCCGTTGCCCCACTCCCCGCGGAGCAGACCAGATGCAGGTGTGGGGCTGGCGCATCCCCTTCCTGCTCGCCTTTGGCACCGCGCTGCTGGGCTACTGGATGCGGCTGGGCATGCCTGAGCCCAAGGCCTTCCTGGCGGCTGCCCGGGCCGAGAAGGAAGCCGACACGAAGGTGGCCATGGTGGACGGCGAGGGCGGTGCCGTCGGTACCGTCGAGTGCGACATCACCACCGCACCCTCCGCCAAGAGGTGAGCGCTCGCGCCGCGGCATGGGCTGCGCCACTGTGCCCTGCATTCGCGATGCGGAAGCGATCCGCGGGTCTACCAGCCGCCGCCGCCCACCCACGCTTTTGTGCCCCTCCACCCACACAAACCCACTCCTCCCCCTCCCACACCCAAAACACCGTCCCCGCGCCCTCCCTGCCTCCCTCCGCCGTGCAGCCTGGCCACCTTCAAGGACGGCTCCAGCGAGAGCGCCTCCGTGGCCGGCTCCGACGACCTTTCTTCCCTGGCCGAGGAGGCCTTTGATGCCGAGAAGGAGGAGGGCGTGCTGACCCGCTTCCACGGCCACCACAAGTCAAAGGTGGGCGGGTGGGGGCGAGGCGGGTGGGGGGGTGTTGCATTTAGCTAGGGGCGTGCGTGGGTGTGAGAGGCGTGGAGAGCCGAGGGCAGGCGGGAGGCCGTTGGGGGGCAAGCGCTGCGCTCTGGCCGGGCCAGACCTTCCGCGCTCATGCTCACTGTGCCAGCCTGCCTGCCTGCCTTCCTGCATGCCACAAATGAGCCACGCTCTGCACCACTGCTCTGCCGCTCCCCGCCTGAGACTCCTCCTGCCTCCCCCCCGCCTCCCGTCTGCCGCCCCCGCCCCTTAGCAGTTCCCCATCCTACGCCTGCTCATGAACAGCTGGGCGGGGTGGGTGTGCCAGGTGGCCTACATGGCATGGGTGTCTGCCGCCTTCTACGCCTCCGTCACCTGGCTGCCCGCGCAGCTGCGCGACGCGGGCCTCAAGCCCATCGTGTCCCAGGGCATCATCATGTGAGGGGGGTGGCGGGGAGGGAGGGAGGGAGAGAGGGAACAGGAAGGGCTGGAGGGTTGGCCAGGGAGCTGCCGGAGCAGTCTCCAGCGATCACATGCGCTGGAGCACGCCGGCCGGAGCCCGCACACTCCTGCACACCCCGCTCACCACCTCGGAATCCAGCATGCAAGGCCCTCGCCGCAGCCGGCGCCTCCCAGACTGCCCTCCCTCCCACCTCCCCACCTTAACCTCTACCCCACCCCCCTGCTGCAGCGTGTCCATGCTCTCCAACGCCGCTGGCCTCTTTGCCTGCGGCACCGCGTTTGACAAGGGGTTCAAGGCCATCTGGATCAACTTCCTGGTGACCCTGGTGGGCATGACCATGGGTGAGCACACCTGATGCTGGAAGTGGAAGCAGAAGCAGGCGGCTGGCTGCTGCTGCGATGTTTTGGCTGACTGGCTGACTGCGGCTGGCAGCGCGGAGCTGGCCTGCCCGCCGCTGCGTTGGCCGGGATTTCGGCAGGCCAACAGCGGAGGCGGAGGGGGGGCGGTCCCGCTCAAATGCGGCCCCGCTGGCATCGCCGCGCCTTCTCGCTTGCGTCGCCATCCCTCCCTTCCTTTGCCCGCGTCCTCCCTTTGCCCTCCTTTGCCCTGCTTTGCCCTCCCCAGCTCTCCCCCGCCCCCTGCCGCGTCCACCAGCCGCCAACACCGCCGTCCCAGATCGCTCCCACTCGCTCGCTCCCCTGCAGGCTTTGGCATCTACCGCGGCGTGTGGAGCTCCGCCGCCGCCTTGGACGTCGCCTCCCTGGCCTGCTGGTTCCTCATCCCGCTGTTCCAGCTGGTGGTGGGTGTGGCCATGGCCTCGGTGGTGCTGCCCGCCACCCGCATCTACGCCCCCCTGGAGCGCACCACCGGTGAGCTGACGGCATTGGTGGGCTGCGGGGGCAAGCCCGCCTCTCGCGCGCATGGGCTGGCAAGCTGCCCACGCGGCCGGCTGGCTTGCGCGCCGGGGGGAACGGCGGCCCGCCGACGCGGGGTGCGGCATGACATGCACTCCACGTAGCCGCTCCTTCCTGCCCCTGCACCTGCCCCTCCCCGCTCTCACGCACAGCACCCGCACACGCCCGCCTCCTGCCCCGCCCCTGCAGGCTTTAGCTTCGGGTACAACGTCGGGTACGGCGTGATTGGCGGCATCACGCCCTTTGTGGTTTCTGCCATCATCGACGACATGCCCGCAGACATCAAGGCGCTGGCGCCCCCCATCTGGCTCGTCTCCCTGGGCGCCCTGTCCCTGCTGGGCTGCGCCCTGCTGCGCGGCTACGCGTCTCGCCTCAACAAGGCCTATGTGGGGCGCATCGAGTGAGGGGGTTCGGCGCACTGCCCGCGGTGCCGGTGCCGCCGCCGCCGGGCAGGCGCTTGTACTAACCATCCATCGCCGGAAACCCACCCCGGAAACTCAACAGCTCTGCTTCCAAGCCCCCATATCTCTCTGCAATCGGATGATTACTTATTCCCTCCCTGACCCCTCTTCCATTCGAGGCGCAACACACGACATCTGGCAGGCAGTCGTGTTTGACCACTGCACCCTCGCCTGCTGAACTTTCTTTCCTATGCCCAGCTGCCGCCGCCGCCGCCCAGCTGGTGTTTTCCCCCGGCTGCCCGAGAGAAGTTTTCCCGTGTGTCCCCAGGACAGCCGCCTCAGGCTTTCATTCCTAGCCCATCTCTCTGCGATTCAGCGACCCCTGAGCGTATTGCTTCCCTGCCCGCCACCTGCACGCCACTGGCGGGCCCTTGCTTGCCTTGTGAAACGACCCTTGCCACTCCTGCAATGCCCCAATCTGCTTTTTACTTACCAGTCGTACGCCAATCTATTTGTTGACCAAACCTGAGGTACCGCCGCCCGTGATGCGCACCCACTGTAAGGCCCGCCCAGCCCCGTCATTGGGTGCCGCACAGAGAGGCAGCCTGCTGGCAGCCTGGGCGCTGCTGGCCCGCCTGCCGGGAGCCGGCGGAGGTGGACAGTAGTGGAGGCGGTTGAGCGTCGGTTGGGGCTGGCGGTGCTTCCACCTCTCAGCCCCTTGCATGAAAATCATTCCTGCCAGCTCCTCTCAAACCCACATGCATGGTTTTACCGAAAAAGAACATCGCAACGGAGGAGACACCGGAGATGACGGGGCGGCCGCAGCCGCGAAGCTGCCTGACACCTCCTGTGCATGCCGGGTGCCAGCAGTGCAGGCATTGTTGAAGCTGGACCTTCTGCCTTGTTCTGCCTTTGTTTCAACCCATCTTGTTAACAGACGCACCTGGCACCATGGGCGACGCAGAGAAGGGTGAGCTGGGCTCTGGCGTCTGCAGTAGCGCCAACGCCAACCAGCCGCCGCAGCCCCTCGGCTCCCTCCACTGCAGCCCCTGAACACCTGGTGCCCTTCCCCCTGTGTGCAGGCACCTTCAAGGGAGCCACCACTGACATTGACAGGCAGGTCACCGGTGTGGGGTGTGCATGCTGTGCCTTGGAGAGCCTCTGGGGAGGCCTGGCAGGGCTGGGGGGCCCAGCTCGGCCATTCTGGCGGCCACGCCTGGCTGCCTGGCGGCGGCGGGGCGGCCGGTTCGCCACTTTGAGAGCCCACCGAGGCCCCAAACTGTTGTGTGCTCTGCTGACGAGCTGCTGCCCTCGCTGGCGCTGCGTGCAGGCGCCATGGCGACCCAGAGCAAGGTGGGCCCTGCTGCTGGCCTGCTGCTGCCGTGCAGCTGCCCTCGGCGCTGCCTGCCACCTGGTTTACGTTGCTGCTGCCACCACGCTCCCTTGCAGGCATGTGAAGGGAGGCGCCGCCTTGAATACGCCGCTAGCTGCGCTTGGAGCATTTGTGCAGCCGGGACTGGCATTTTTTGACTGCAGCCGCACACCACACACACAGCCACAGCCGCCGACCGCCCTCCCCTCCAACGCAGGCGGGCTGACCTCTGGCGAGAAGAGCGCCTTGGCTCGTGGCTACATGCCCTCCACCGCCAAGGCGAGTGAGGCTGGACCCTGGGCCCCAACAGCCAGGCCGCCGGCTGTGGCTGCTGCGCCGCTGCGGAGCAGCTGGGACCGATGCCGCTCGTCGGCGCCGGCAGGCGGGGCCGCGTGGTTGGCGCAGCCTGGAACGCAGCAGCGCGGTCCTCTTCTGCGCCCCCACCTGCCTCGCCCGCTTGCCTTTCACCCCCACCTGCCGTTTACCCTGCCCCCCACCCGCCTGCCGCGCCTGCCTTCCCTCCCTGCAGGGTGACGAGGCGAAGCAGGAGGCTGCCCAGGAGTATGCCGAGCAGAAGGGGGTGGAACTGGACAAGGGGCCTGCCACCTGAGGAGGGGGACAGGAGGAGGACGCCCGCCTGCCAGCCTGGCGCAGCGCTATGTCCAACTGTCCCGCCCGAAGGAAGGAAATCAGCCGGAGGGGGGGAGTGCGATTAGGGCGCAGCGCACATAGCGCGGCGTGCTGCTCCGCGCCGGGCCCACCTTGAAGGTGACATCACCCCCCATGAAATGCAATTGTGCCTGTGATGAGCCCCTGCCTCCACCCGACTCCCCGCTGAAATCCCCGGGCTTTCTTAGTACACACACCACCCCCGTAGCGAGCCCCCGTAGCTTCCGTGCCACCCCCGCTAGCGAGCTTGAGCCCCCCCTCTCTGACCAGCCCCCAGACTGCCCCTTTCCATGCCAGTGCACTGCCAGACACCCCGGACAGACACATGTAACAGCAGGAGCAGGCACATTGAGGTTGTGAGCGGCAGGGGCAATAGTACAGCGGGGAATTCCCCTTCATGGAGGCAAGGAAACAGGGAGGAGGGCGCGCAGAGCACCACGGCGCAGCGGAAACTCGAAGGCAAAATGGGGCACAGGCAGAGGGGGGTTCCTAGAGCTGCTCTCTTGATGGAGGTACGGGAGGACGCACATTGGGCAGTCGCAGGCAAGGTACAGGCGGTACAATCACAGCATAGCTTGGCATGGGATGAGATCAGATGCGAGTGCTGGGCGGCTGGGAGCTATCAGAGGTCGAGTGTGCACAGACGTGCCAGCCCCAGCTGGCACGCGGGCGGCGAGCCCCACACCGCAGGGCAGGCGCAGGGCGGCAGGCGAGGGGAGGGGCATGCCGGCTGCGACGGCGTGGCAGGGGGCGACAGGCTAGGGGCGGGGCTGAAGGTTCCTGGACGGGTGCTGAAGGTTGGAGTGCGGCGGCGCGCCACCGGCTTGCCCAGCGCGCGAGGGGTGGAGGGCTGGGCCTCCTGCCGCGCCTGCTGCGGCGGCTGGTGCATTGGTAGGCTGGTGTGGCCCTCCTTGGCTCGCGGCTGTCCTTCAGGGGATTCCACCCCGCCCTGCATGCCAGGAGGCGGCGGCCAGCGCTCGATGGCGGGCGGCACCCGGCAGTGGCACACCAGCAGGGCGACCTGTGGCGGCGCCGTGGCACCAGGAGCAGGCCTCTCCTTGCAGGCATGCTGGCACAGGCGGCGGCCATGCTCAAGGAGCAGCCCTACCTGCAAGCGGTCGTCCTGCAGGCGCTTGCCCTTGTGCATGCTCAGCTCGTGCAGCTGGCCCCGCCAGAGGGAGGTCGGGCTGGCGTCCAGCTCGGCGGCGGCGGCAGCAGAAGCAGAGTCAGCCTGCCGGTAGCGCGCGGGGAGCTGCGCGGCGGTCTGGGAGCAGCACATGCCGTTCTGGAGAGCTTGCAGAGGGCGGCCCGAAGCGGCAAAGTGATCGATTTAGGTGCTGGGCGTCCCTAGCGCTCGCTAGATGTGATCTGCACGAAAGTGATCGGGGACGCGGCGTAAATGTTGGGGGGCGTCAACGCAGCAAGCATGCGGTGGCTGTTATGTCATGTGGCCGCCAACTGGCGCCTCCGCCGCCGCCAACCCAGAGTGCAGGCAAAACGTCCAAATGTCAGGCTGAAGCTCCTGCCAGCTGTACTGCAATGCATGAGAGTGAAGTCTGGAGGGCCCTGGTGATGCATGGACGGCTGATAGTGGCACCCCGCAGCACCCCGCACGCGCTGCGTGGGCGTGCGTCCTAAGCTACCGCCTTGCTCACCACACGTCCCGAGGATCGACCCTCAACTGCTGGCAGCGAGATAGTGCGCGCGTTACCGGGGCAGCGGCAACTCAACTGCTGAATCCAGGCGGGCGACTAGCGACAGGCGCTGGCATGGCGGCGGGCTTCGCGGCCCCAGCGCACAAGGCAATGCAGGGCGGGAAGCTGGGCATCAGTCGCGGCTCCTAGTCCGCTCCCGGCTGCTGGGCAGCGCCGCAGGTGCGCTCATGCGCTGCCGTTGGCGCCCGGGCCCAGGTTGCTTTTCTGTGTGGGCTTGGCCGGGCGCCGAGTGTCGCGCCGCGCCGACCCCGCCGCTCCCGGCGTCGCCTTTTGGCCCGACGCGCCGCCGCCCGCGCCGCCGCCCGCCGCCGGCGGCAGCGGCGGCAGCGGCGGCCGCCCCGCGGCGCCCGCGGTGCCGCCGGGCCGGCTGGCGGCGGTGGTGGCTGGGGTGCCTGCGGCCAGGGCCGCCGGGCCACCGGGGGTGGCCGCCGAGGCGCTGGCCGCCGCCGGCGACCCCGTCATGGACGCCGCCGCGGGGGAGCGGTTCTTCAGCACCGTAGTGGGCGGGTTGGCCGCCACCGCGGCGGACGTGCTGGCCAGCCGGGTCAGCGCCTCTTGCGCCAGCTCCTGCTTGTTGAGCCAGGCAGCATACGGGTTGGCCTGCTCCCACAGCGGCACGTCCCAGCTCCAGGCCGGCCCCGCGCCGCCGCCGCCCACCCCGCCGCCCGGCTGCGCCTGCGGTGGCTGCCCGTCGGCGCCGCCGCCGCCGCCGTCCTGCTGCTGCTGCTGCTGCTGCTGCTGACCGCTGGGGGACGCCTGGCCGCCGGCCTCGCCATCCGTAGGCTCCTGCTTGATGGCAGCCGCGCCGGCCGCCTCCTTCTCCCTTTCTTTCTTCCCCTTGCCCGCCGACCCAGGCTTGTCCCCTCTGTCCGCCTTGCCCCCTGACGCCGGCGCCGCCGCCTCGTCCTGCTGCTGCTGCCGCTCCGCCGCTGCCGCCGCCGCCTCCTGCTGCTCGGGGGTGCCGGGCTCCCGCCAGAACGCCTCCAGAGGCTGGCAGCGGTCAAACACGAGCCGCCCGCCGCGGCCGATGCGGGGCTGCCACCAGCTGCACGGCGCGGAATGGGGTGGGGTTGTGGTGATGGGTGGGTGGGTGGGTGGGTGA